GGATGATTTTTGCGCAGGAATTGACTGACAGCAGGATGCTTGGTCTTAGCACATTTCTACAGTTTATTTTATTTTTCATTCTGAAAGAGACCGACACAGGGATCAAGCAGAGCCCTTTGAGTTACAAGAACACTTTTTGAAACCACTGTGTTTCAACACTAAACTGTTAACTAGAATCTTATGTTCACACACACAAAAAATGTGTTTACAACTAATGTACTAGGAGAAAAAAGTACTTAGTAATAATAACCTAATGTCACACAAGTAACTTGAAAAAATATGACGCACTATTGAAATATACTAACATTTTCATGCTGCTGAAATTCTGACAAAATTCACCATTTGCAAAGCAAAATCTTTTTTTAAAAGTATTTTTTTAAATATTTTTTTTTTATTGATTTCGGAGAGGAAGAGAGAGATAGAAACATCCATGATGAGAGAGAATCATGGATTGGCTGCCTCCTGCAACCCCACAACTGAGGATCAAGCCTGAAACCCAGGCATGTGCCCTTGCCCAGAAACAAACCGGGGACACTTCAGTATGCAGTCCAACGCTCTATTCACTGAGCCAAATCAGCTAGGGGAAAATTCATCTTTTGAAAAGCAAATTCACCTGTTCCACTTTAAATTCATCTTTTGCCAGGGTTTGATTCCAGTCAAGGGCACATGCCTGGGTTGTGGGCTCAATCCCCAGTAGGGGGCATGCAGGAGGCAGCCGATCCATGATTCTCTCTCATCATGGATGTTTCTATCTCTCTCTCCCTCTCCCTTCCTCTCTCAAATCAATAAAAATATATTTTTTTAAAAAAGGGCTGTGAATTTCTCAAATGGTTTTTATTTATATTACTAGTAGCCCGGTGCACAAAATTCATGCACATTAAAAGGGAATTAATTGCCTTAACCGGTTTGGCTCAGTGGATAGAGCATCGGCCTGCAGACTCAAGGGTCCCAGGTTCGATTCCGGTCAAGAGCATGTACCTTGGTTGTGGGCACATCCCCAGTGGGGAGTGTGCAGGAGGCAGCTGATAGATGTTTCTCTCTCATCGACGTTTCTAACTCTCTATCCCTCTCCCTTCCTCTCTGTAAAAAATCAATAAAATACATTTTTTTTAAAAGGGAATTAATTAGCAGAGATATTTTAATATTGCTATTTGCCCTTTCTCTATAATAGAAGTGTGGGAGATGAAAGGAAATTAGTAAAATGCATATGAAAATCATATATAAATTTATTACTAAATAAACAGTAACAAAAAGATATAACAACAACAAAGGCATGATATAAAAATGACAAAAACATGGTATGAAAACGACAAAAACATGATAGAAAAACAACAGTGATGCAAACAATGACTGATAAAGTGGTTAAACTTATTCTAACATCTCCCTGTACACCACATTAAGAGTGAAAACACTTTCAGAGTGCTTGACTAATTTCCCTTGTGCTGAAGTACTTAGAACTTTAACGGTAACATCACATGCTCTTCAAACTCAAGAGAAAGCAACATATAACTGACCATGTGCAAAAACGGGTTCAGATAGGAATACGCCTACTTTGTCTAGAGTTTGTCCTTGTGATTTATTAACAGTCATCACAAATGCTGGCATCTCGGGAAACCATCCTTGAATCAATTTCAATGGAAGGCCAGTGACAGATGGGGACAAATTAATTCTTGGAATCAGAACAGCCTCTCCCTCTGTAGATCCGTTAATACTTCAGCTTCGATAATGTTAGGTCATAATCTTTTGATAATAAATCTGGTGCCATTACAAAGACCCCATTTACTATTGAGATTTCTCAATAGCATGATGATTGCACCCACTTTAAATTCTAATTTATGACATGGCATTCCCGAAGGAGTAATACTATTAAGAAATTCGATGGGAAAATTTTCCTTTTCAGCATCATCTGTGGAATCAATGGAATCATCACTCAAATATGTGTGAAAATCTCCATCGAGTATATCCAAATTTTCTTAATTTAATTTTTAAACATGCTCATTTTGGGGGCAAAGAATTGCACGTTTACATATATTTTTAATATTATCTATAGCAGTGGTTCTCAACCTTGGCTGCACATTAGAATCACCTGGGAATCTTTTTAAAATGCTGATTTCTGGGCTTCATCCTCCGAAATTTGTTTATTTGATATGGGGTGGGGCCACAACATTAGTAACAAAGAAGCAGAATTAAAACTTTATTGTGGGGAGCTACAGTGTTTTGGACAGGTTCAAGCCTTGGACTGATGAGAGGGCACAGTCTTCTCATTGCCACATGCAAGTCCCAGCTAGGAGTGCAGGAGCCCTCCCAGCACAATTACAGCCAACAGCTGTAGTTGTAAGCTTGAACCTATGGTCTGAACACGTGGCCCCACCTGCCTGAGTGATATAGGCTTCATAGAGTTCAGGTGCATGTAGTTGAGTAGGATTGAAACCCAAGAGAATGTTGTAAACATCTTGGTCATGCCTTTGCTTTGCCTCATAGCATCTGCTATAAAATAAACTCATGGCTGTGGCCGTGGTCACTGTCTCTCAGGGAAGCAGCGTCCCATCGAGACCACACTTTCATTCTCTTATCTGTCTTTTCTAAGCCTTTCAGCCACCCCCCACTCAAGTTCACCCCTGGCCGTGCTGGCGCAGCACACTTTAGAAAGATATGCCTCCTCGCTCCCAGGGTGGGTTCCTGCCTCAAACCCTGCCCTTACAGGAAACAGCTCCAGGAAACAGCTCGGGGAAGGATGCAGCCATTGCCAAGACAACCCCTGCAGGACTGACTTCCTTCCGCTTGGTCACAGCAGTTGTGGTCATGATGAACACCACCCATGGTTTTTCTATAAGTAGATCTGTTGTTATTGATCTGAGACAGAGAGGGATAGGAAGACAAAGAGAAGCATTGATGTGAGAGACAAAAAATCAAGTGATGTGATGTGTGTACCCTTACCAGGAATCGATGTGACTTCTTGGTTCATAGGTCAACACTCAATCATTGAGGCTCACTCACTGGGCTGTGTGTTGCTATTTGGATGACCTGTTTACTAGAAAGAGAATGGGCCCTGGCTGGGTAGATTACATGCTACGGTGATGACAAGCTTTACATTGCTGGTGTTCAAAGGTTGCTTTGAGCATCAGGCCTGTTTCCATCATGACAGCAAGTGGGAGGTGTTGCATCAGTACAAGTCTACTTCTAGCTTCTGCCTAATGGTTCATAACATAGAATGAAGGTAAAACCATGCAGGCTATGTCTTAGAAGGGAGCCAGTAATTTAGCAAAGATTCTACTTTGGTGACAACACATGACCCCCAACAGTTCATTGGCAAGCGATACACAGTACTACTTACCAAGTTTCCAAACATTTGCCAAGTAAAACATTCACACTTATGAAGTTTTTTACATAATCATTTAATTACACTTAGGAAGACAACTTTATAGCAGAAATATCATTTTCTAAAATAAAATGTATGTACAATACAAATGTATACTACATCAGATAACTGCTTTGCTCTTATTATCCATATAATAACTATATAGAATAAGTCTGAGATCACTTTCCATGCAACTGTTGTGTAAATGGATGTCCAAACAGGTCTTGTGTCTTGGAAGGAGTCACCATGAAGTAGATCAGTGATGGCGAACCTCTGACACGTGAACTCATTTTTTTGATTGATTTTTCTTTATGTATTTTAAATACATAAAATAAATACCAAAAATATAAATCTTTGTTTTACTATGGTAGCAAATATCAAAAAATTTATATATGTGACACAGCAACAGAGTTAAGTTAGGGTTTTTCAAAATGCTGGCACCCCGAGTTCAAAAGGTTCACCATCACTGAAGTAGGTGCAGTGTGTGGAAATCAAATCCAGGGTTCTGGAGTCCTCGATCACCAAGAAGGTACCTCCGGGAGGATAGAAGGAACCAGCACAGTGGCCGCAGGTTCCCAGAAGTCACCTCTCCAGGCCACTGCGGCCTCGATTGTCTGTTCCTCGGTCTCTGTGTGCCTAGGTCTCTGCGTCCCTAGATCACTGACACAGGTGAGTCTGCTCGCATCTTCTCAGTGTAGGTGACTCTGGGAGCAGGGGAGCATGTGCTGTCCCCTCCTCTGTCCATTTCCCGCCTCCTTCACACCTCACTTTCCCCTGCTCCTCCCAGCCTCGCCCCTGAGAGCCTCGCCCTTGATGTGGTGGCTTTGGAGACCCTGCAAGGACCGTGCTAGAGTGGCCTCATCCTGTTGTGTCAGGACCTTGGCAGATGAGGGACACTCAGACATTTTATTTTTATCTTATAGACACATCGCATGGAAAAACAGCGTCGCTAAATGCTCTGCTCATGATGGTGCCTTTCTTTAGGGGTATGCTGCTTTTTCACACCCTCAAAAGCTTTTCCTTCTTTGTACTTTTTTCTTGTGTATGTTTTGGTTAATTCTTTCCAGACGATATGTTTTCCCCATTCTTTTTTTTATATAAAGTGGAGGGGGGGGGGGAGAGAAAACAAACAAGCAAACATGAATATGCAAGAGACACATGGATCTTTGGCTCCCAAAGGAACCCAAACAGGGGTAGGCAATGAAACTTGCATCCCAGGTATGTGCTCTGGACCAGGAATCCTACCAGCGACCCTTCCCTGGGTATCCAATGGAAGACTGACCAGGGCCTATTCCTTCCACTTAGCAGATGAGAACAAATGTCCCTCTTTCTTCTTGCAGAAGGCAGCCAATCTATGATGATCACTCATCATTCATGTTTCTCTCTTCCTTTCTGAAATAGTAGAAATATCTCTAAAAAACCCACTTGGCCCTGGCCGCTGTTGCTCAGTGGGTAGAGCGACAGCCTGCAAACTAAAGGTTCCCTGATTCGATTCCCAGTCAGGGCACATGTCCAGGTTGCAGGCTCGATCCCCGGGGGGGGGGGGGGATACAGGAAGCAGCTGATCCATGATTCTCTCTTATCATGGATGTTTCCACCTCTCTCTCTCTCCTCCTCCTCCTCCTCTTCCCTCCCTCCCTTTCTCTCCCTTCATCTCTGAAATCAACTTAAAAAATGGTTTTTAAAAACTCACTGTGTTTCAACAAAAAAGTTTAAATTGAATTTTTTTCTCACGGTACTAACACGTTCCCATGATAACCCTGCATCTGGAGGTGCCATCAACAATGACAGCCTCCCTGGTACTGATTGCATCAATAATAGCAGCCTACAGGTGGAGGACTGCCTCAGGAATGCTCACCTCTAGGCTACTCATTGCATCGATCATTGTAGCTCAGTAAAGGAGGCCTCTCCAGGGGCCGCTGGGTCAAGCGGGAATAACACGTTCTCCCAATATCCCTGCACCTCGCTGGACAGACTGGCTGCCTCCATAATGGGGTCATCCAAGGGACTGGCTGCCGCAATCACAACGGCCGCCGGCTGACTGGATGCCTCAGGAAAGGTGACCTGTCTGGTACTGGCTGCCTTGTTAATGGCGGCCTCCCCAGGACTGACTGCTCCAATCATGGCAGCCTCTAGGTTATAGACTGACATAGTGAACGCACAGGTTCACGATGTTGGTGCAGCAGCCAAGGTCACCTTTTGCAGGGCTGGAGTGGGAAGGGGTGTAAAATCCAGACCTGTGACTTCAGTCCATCCAGGAAAGGAATGGTTGCGCCCTGGACAGCATCGATGATTTCGTGGGTTTTCCTTTGTGTTTTTGGTTGCTCTTGTCTTTGTTTGGGTAGAATTTTCAATCAAGTACACAGGGCATTAGCTGAAATTTCAGCACCACGGACAGAATCACAAGGTGTTATTCTTTGAATGACCACAAGAGGGCGGCAGAGGATCTATTTTGCTTAGGTATTGGCTGACCGCTTCCTTTGCGTAATAAGTATATAGATGCATGCACGTGATACTTAACCTAGTAAACTGATAACCAGTAATCTGGTAACCAGTAACCATTAACCTGGTAACTAGTAGCCAGTAACCAAGTAACTAGTAACCTTTTTAACCTAGTAACCTGGTAATTAGTAACCAGTAACCCAGTAACTAGTAACCAGTAACCTAGTAGCTAGGAACAAATAACTTCAGTAAAGGCGACATGTCCCATACTGCCTGACTCATTAGCGAAGGCCTCCTCAGTACGGACAGCCTCAGTAAGGGCAGCCTCCAGCTTACGGAATGCCTCAATAATGGCGGACTCTCTCGCGGTCTCTGGGTCTCCCGATATTCCACACCTCACTGTACGGACTGCCTGCCTCAGTAAGGGCGGCCTCCAGGTTACGGAATGCCGCAATCATAGCAGACTCCAGGTTACAAGGACGGCAGCTTCCAAGGTACTGGCTGCCTTAGTAAAGGTGGCTGCAGGTTGCTGGCTGCCTCAGCAAAGACCACCTGTCCAGTACGGGCTTCCACGTTCACAGAGGCCTGCGCTGTATGGGTGGCCTCAGTAATGACGGCCTCCCGGGTATGGAATGCCTCAGTAACAGCGGACTCTGGCGAGGTCGCCGGGTCTTGGGATACTCCACACCTCGCTGTACGGACTGCCTGTCTCAATAATGGTGGCCTGCAGGGAAAGGACTGCCACAATCATAGCGGACTCCAGGTTACTGGCTGCCTCAAGGACGGCGGCCTCCAAGGTCCTGGCTGCCTCAATAATGGCAGCCTCCAGGTTTCAGGCTGACATCGTGAACGCACAGGTTCACTCACGATATCAGTGCATCAGCCAAGACCTCCCTTTGCAGGGCTGGGTCGGAAAGAGGTGCAAAATCCAAACGCGTGACTTCAGTCCATCCAGGGACGGAATGATTGCAGCCATGTACAGGCTCGATGATTTTGTGTGTGTGCTTTTTTTTGTTTTGTTTTTGTTTTGTTTCTGGGTATAATTTTTCGTCTTGTTCACAGGGCATTAGCTGGGATTTCAGCACCACGGACAGAAGCACACGGTGTTATTCCTTGAACGGCCACAAGAGGGCAGCCAGCAGAGGATCGTTTTTGCACAGGAATTGGCAGATAGCTTCCTTTGAGGTTTCTATCATAAGCACATAGCTGCATAGACGTGTACAGTATAAGCGGTAACTTACTTGAAGGAACACAAAGGCGTTTATCCTATAAAACCAGAGTGTAAGTCTGCTCTAGGATTACATTCTCATAAATTGCAAAATAAGGAATCTTTGTTCTTAGCACATTTCTACAGGACTATTTCATCTTTCATTCTGAAAGAGACAGGCATAGGTATTGAAGAACCCTTTGACTTAAAAGAACACGTTTCAAAACCACTGTGTTGCAACACCAAACCATTAACTAGAATATTTTACTCAGAAAAAAAAAGTGTTTACAACTAATTTACTAGCAGACAAAAGTACTCATAATAACCTAATGTCACAGAAGTAACTTGAAAAGATATGAAGCAATATTGGAATCTGCTAACATCCTAGAAGGGTAGACTAATTTTGATGCTGCTGAAATACAATCAGAAAAATTCACCTTTTGCAAAGCAAATTCATCTCCAAAGCAAATTCACCTTTTACACTTCTGACCCTGACTCCAGCCCTGAAACTGACACTTCGCCCTAAAACCCTAACCCCACCCCAGCCCTAGCCCCATCCCCACACTTTACCTCTGACCCTTGACTTGGCACAAATTTATATTTTATTAGTGTATAGAATCCGTACCTGGTGTTGCTCACTGGTTAGAGCGTTGGCCAGCACCTCTGGTGAAAGACTAGGTGGAGGGAGAGTGGGAGTCTGTGGTGGAGTCTATGGAGGAGGGAAGTAGCTAGGTCTATGTTTACAGAGAGGATTCTGAGGACAGTGTGTGGGTTGGGGTTGAGCAGAAGAGCAAGTCTCAGGGTCTCTTGTGCAGAAAAGCACAGCAGGCAAGGAAGAAATTTCTAGAGGGCGAGCTCTGCCGGGACCACGCCGGGACCCACACATTCTGCACTGTCACCCGCACACCGTCTGTGGCCTGTGACGTCTTCACTTGCAGAAAAACATGTGTGTGTAATTGTCTACACTCCATGCAGACTTTCGTCATCAGTGGAAATCACAGTTTTAAAATGACTTAAGTGCAAAGCCAGACTCTACCATTGAGTCGTCTTGAGCCCTTGGTAAGTTTAATCATAGAGCCCCCCCTCCCCCCCCCTTTTTTTTTTTTACTATTTTTTATCATCTTTTTAAAAAATTTTCTTCCAATACAGCATAGGTTTTCCCTGTGACAGCTGGTAGTGGTTGCTGTTATTCCTTGAATGTCCACAGGGAGGCAGCAGAGGATCATTTTTGCGCAGGAATTGGCTGTCACTGTCAGAGTCCTTTGAGGTCTAGTGTCATCCTATATAATAAAAGAGTAATATGCCACCCAGCACTGGGATCAGCGGAGCCGTGAGGCCTCCCAGCACCGGGATCAGCATGACAGGGGGCAGCGCCCAAACCCCCTGATCGCCCTGCGGCTCTGTGTGTGACAGGGTGCGGTGCCCCCCCCCCCCCCCACACACACACACACAGGCTCTGCTCTGTGTGTGACAGGGTAGAGCCATAACCTCCCCATCGGCCCTGCCCTGAGTGTGACAGTGGCAGCGCCCCAACCCCCTGATCCGCCCTGCTCTGTGTGTGACAGGGGGCGGTGCCCCAACTCCCCTATCGGCCCTACTCTGTGAGTGACAGGGGGTGGCGCCGCAACCTCCCCATCGACCCTGCCTTGAGTGTGACAGGGGGCGGTGCCCCAACCCCCCAATCGGCCCTACCCTGAGCGTGACTGAGGGTGGCATCGCAACCTACCGATCCTCCCTGCTCTGTGCATGACAGGGGGCGGTGCCCCAACTCCCCAATCGGCCCTGCTCTGAGCCTGACCAGGGGCTGCACCTAGGGATTGGGCCTGCCCTCGGCCATCCGGAAGCAGGCCTAAGCCAGCAGGTTGTTATCTCCCGAGGGGTCCCAGTCTGCGAGAGGGCACAGGCCGGGCTGAGGGACCCCCCCTCCCCCCCGAGTGCACAAATTTTTGTGCACTGGGCCTCTAGTAAGTACATAGATCTCTACACGTGAACGATATAATCACTACCATACTAGAAGCAAAATAAAAGCGTTTATCCTATAAAAGCAGTGTATAAGTCTGCTCTATGTTTACATTCTGATAAATCACAAAATAAGGGATGCTTATTCTTAGTACATTTCTACAGGATTATTTTATCTTTCATTCTGAAAGAGGCAGGCATAGATATTGAGCAAAATCCTTTGACTTATAAGAATATGTTTCAAAACCACTGTGTTTATATGCCAAAGTATTAACTAGAATCTTTTATTCAGGAAAAAAAAAATGTGTTCACAACTAATTTACTAGCAGAAAAAAGTACTCAATAATAATAACCTAATGTCACAGAAGTAACCTGAAAAAATATGAAGCAATATTGGAATTTACTAAGATCCTGTAAGGGATGACTCATTTTTGATGCTGTGGAAATACAATCAGGCAGCCACCACGGACCCTATCATTGAGATGTCTGCGATGGTGCAGGCCTCTGAGTCACTAACCATGTTCCCAGCCACTAACTCCTGTATTATCATGAAAAGGTTAACAACGTTGATGCCCAAACAATGGAGTCCCACCCCAGCCTTCATAGCCTACTTCCCCATGCCTGTACTAATCCTTGCCCTACCCTATGTCAACATCTGGCTTTATGGGGTGCACAGCAGGTTTTTGTGGGTGGATGATCTGCTGCTCTCCCATACTGCCAGCTGTATTGGAAAAAGTGCTCCTAAGAGATTCAACCCTGTCTCTGCTTGATTGGCTCAGGCAGTGACAGGCAGCCTGGGCGCACTGATTCACCGGTTACAATGCCATCCTCCACTCCGACTCACCTCCACGGAGTCTCACGGAGACCTTGTTTTTTGTTTGTGTTTGTTGTTAATCCTTGCCGGAGGATATTTTTCCATTGATCTTTTAGAGAGAATGAGAGAGAGAGAAAAAGACAGAGAAACATCCATGTAAGAGAAACACATCGATTGGTTGCCTCCTGCACACACCCCAACCAGAGCCGGGGCCGGGGAACCTAGGTACAGTAGCCTTGACCGGAATCAAACCCAGAACCCTTTGGTGCGCAGGCCTAGGACGAGACTCCTTTCTCAATTAACATTGTCATTCGATGAAATCATGAAAATCACCCAATCTTGTTTTCATGGCCCTTAAGGGCGATTTCTTGGGCTTTGCTCCGTGCCCAGCCCGTGCCAGGTGCTCACGGTCCAGATCCTCTACAAGCCCATGAGAGGTGTTTCTTTGCTCCCCTTCCTCCCTCCCTGCCTCACTTCACTTCCTTCCAGATTTACTGAGCGCCTGTCTGTGCCAGGGGCTGGGGCACAAAGGCAAAGCTAGCAGCCACAACCTCACCACCCCGTGAGAGCATCATCTGCAAAACGGCTGTGACTAGGGTGGGTGCAGGGTGCAGGGGGAGCCCCAAATGACTCAGGGAAGGTTCTCCAGTGGAGTTAAAGGTGAGATGGGATTTGAAGGATGAGGAAGGGCATTCAAGGTGTAGGGAACTGCATGTGCAAAGGCAGGGAGGCAGGAAACAGCCCGCCTGGACTTGGAACTGTGGGAGGGCGATGGAGCCAAGGTCCAGGAAAACTGCTGGGTGAGATTGGGGTCCCAGAACCCACTACCTGGACCCTATGTCTCCTTGATCGCCTTTGCTCCTGGAGGAAGAAGCCCCTCCTACCTGCCCAAAAGGAGGCTTTGAAGCTGGAGAGGGAGTGAAGGAGGGGCAAGCTGATGTGTATTTTTGGATTGCTTCCAGAAATCTCCTCCTCCTCCTCCAACATCTTGGCAACCGGGCGGCAGCTGGGGGAGGATCTGTGAGCTGGGCTGAGTTGAGGGGGAGGTGGACTGGGGGTAGGGACCTCTGCTCCCCCTCTCTGAGCCTCAGTTTTGGCATCTAGAATATGGGCACGACCACCCAGTTGCTGGCTCGTGTCAACCCAGGGGCTCCGGGAAGCGCAGGCCCAGGCTGGACTCATGATGGGGAAGGCCTGGGAGGTGAGGTTGTGCACTGAACAGGGTCCATGACTTCACATCTCATACCTCACACTGCAAATGTTCTTATAATTTTAAATGTTTTCAGATTTTATTGGAAGTTTTTTAGGCCGTTTTAATATTTATTATGACAATTCTCCAGTCCGTAAGGGTCTTGAAGATGAAGCACCTTCTTATAACTTGGCTAAAAGGCGCCTGGGGTTTAGCGCTGGTCACCTTCCCATCAGGGACGTTTCCAGAGCACACAATGCCCCAGGGGGGATCCTGGTCCTAGAGGGGCCACGCATAGGCTGACGGCTTCCGACTCCAGGGAAAGGGCAGGGCCCTGAGCCTCTGTGCTCCTCTCACTCTGGGTGGATCAGGCTGGGGAGTGGGCTGTGGAGAGGCTCGGAAGGGACTGTGAGAACTGCCTGCTCTTCCAGCCACTAGGTTCTCCCCGAGGACAGAGAGCCCGAGATTTCTAGAAAGGGGAGTCACAGTGCACCCCAAAAAAAGTTTGTGTTTTTGTTGGTTTGCATATGACCTTTAAGCCTTAAATTGTTTTTAGAGTACAAAGGAAAGTTAAAGAGCAGCAGTAAGTAACCCCCACGCACAACCGCTTGTCCCAGAGACGGGTCAGTGGTGCCCATCTCTTGTGCATCAGATGAGACAATATTCCAATGGCTGACCTCCCCATGCCTCAGTGTCCTCCTCTGTAAAATGTTGATAATACTTCATGCATCTGAGATGGCTGTGAGCACTGAGCAAGCCAGCCTGTGTGATGTAGTGAAGGCTGCACAGAGACTTACAGCTCGAGGCTATAAACGCCTGCCTCCATTCCTACCCAGTGTGATGCCTGTGGAGACCTCGTCTTACCAGCAGCAGAGTATACTGGGGTGTGACAGAACTCACTATCTGTGCAGAGTGGGGACATTCCGGTTGTTTCTAGTCTCTTGTCCGCAGCATGTCTTTGGGGTTATCTCCTGTAAACATAAGCCCTGCCAAATGTCATGTGCTCACATCTCAAATGGATATTTCCTCATCACCTCCCAAGGGTTGTAAACAGCTCACGCTCAACCTTTGCTACAAGGGCCAGCACCCCTGCCTGCGGGGCCTGGTTCTAACCCGACAGGGAGTCCACGCTCACGACTGAAGAATGAGAAACGCACCTTGGCAAGAAGCAGCCGTTTCTGCGTCCAGAGCAACACGCCCAGCGAGGGAGTCACAGCTGCAGATCCACCGCTCCGTCTCCTCCTTTCTGCAGCACCTGCCAGTCAGTGTGTGGAACGGGGGCCAGAGAGGGGGCACAGGGCGGAGGGGGGCACAGGGCGGAGGGGGGCAGAAGAGGCCAGAGGGGCCCCAGGAGGCCAGAGCGCAGGCTCATCTGTCTCCTCCGGTGGAACCCTCTCAGTCCCGAGTCATTACTGCCCCCCTTTTCACAGATGGGGAAACAGGCATCATCACAGGGCCTGTTGGGACAGAGTTCAACACCTCACCTGACCTTTGAGAGGCTTCCATCAAAATGCTGACTGTCCCGCCCAACCGGTGTTGCTCAGTGGATAGAGCGTCAAACCTTGGACTGAAGGGTCCCAGGTTCGATTCCCGGTGGGGGCACAGGCCCGGGTTGCGGGCTGGGTCCCCAGTGTGGGGCGTGCAGAAGGTAGCAAATCCATGATTCTCACTCATCATGCATATTTCTATCTCCCTCTCCCTTCCTCTCTGAAATCAATAAAAATATATATATTTTAAAAACATACTGACCGTCCCAGAAGCTAAAAAATCCACGTTATTTCCGGGACTCCTAGCGGCCCCTGCGGATCTCGGAGGAACCACCCTCCCACCTCCACCCGCCCCGCCCCGCCCCGCCCCGCCCCGCCAGTTCCCTCGAGCGCCGCCCATCCCGGCAAGTCCCCTGGATTTCACTTCCGGTGGGAGTCGCCTCCGCAGCCGCAGGTCTGTGCGCCCCAATGGCCCACCTGGGCCCCTCCCCGGCGAAGTCCCTGGGGCCCTAGTGGTGGCACCGAGATGGGCCTCCCCCCACAACCCGCCCCGTTGGGTCAGAAACTCGGCTCCCGGTCCAGGGAGGTGACAGCGGGACAGGGCGGCCGGGGAGGCGCCCTCAGGTGGAGGCGGGAGCGGGTGACCTCAGCTCGCGCCGAGTCCCGTCTACTGGGCATGAGCTCGGGGTCCGCCCCACGGCTGCGCGCGCTCCAGCGACACCTGGGCTCCCGGGAGGTAGGGCCGGTTCCGTCCCTTGGGCCGGGGCTCAGACCTGGAAGCCGGGGACACTGAACTGGGAAAACAGGGAGCACAAGGCAACGGTGGGTGGAGGGGAGGGCCCAGTGGGGACGGATGGGGGACAGGTCAGCGTGGTTGACGAACTGCACTTCAGTGTGTCCCCACAACCTCCGGGATCCCCACCCCAGGGACATTCTGGGATCTTCGCCCCCAGGCTGTTTAACTGCTGGTGTGGACACAAGGCTTGTCCTGTCCCTCTCTCCTGGCCCAGGGCAGAGGCATGGAGCCAGTCAGCAGCCCGCTGACCACACATGTGCTGGACACTGCCTCAGGGCTCCCGGCCCAGGGCCTCTGCCTCTGTCTGTCGAGACTCGAGAACCACGGCCAGCAGTGGACAGAACTGAGGAGAAGGTAGGTTTGGGGTAGCACTGAGTCCAGAGCTCCTCCCTCAGCACAGGGCCCCCCAAGACCCCCCCCACCCCCCGCCCCAGGGCCCCTGCTGTATCCTGGAGCCTCTCCTGTCAGGGGTCAGGGGTCAGGCTCAGCTGGTTAAGGCCTGAGGAGGAATCCCGAAGGCTCCCCTGTCACCAGACAGCACTTTCTCCTCTTTTATTCTCACTGCAGCCTAATGGCCCTTCCACAGAGACAGGGCCCACCTGCACCACACCTGGCAGCTGTGCTCTCCGTGGCCCTGGCTTCTACCCCACGCTCAGCAATGCTGGGGGAGGCCCAGCCCGGGCTGGCATTTCTGCACTTGGTGGCCCTGTGAGCAGGGAGCAGACTCTTCCTGAGGTGGCAGTGGGGAGCTGGGCCCCAAAAGTTCAGGGCCTGAGGGTGTGGAGCTTGTCCCCTCCCTGTTCAGCCCCTCACAAAGGCTGCGGGCCCAGGTCCCATCTGAAGGTCAGCTGTGGCCTTGGAAGAACACATGGAGTCCCCTGGGGGGTCACAGGACCCCTTCCCAACGCCCACAAGTGCTGGTGAGTGATGCTCTCTGTGGCCACAGTGCACCCTCACCGGCCTGCTCAGCTGGGGACATGGAGACAGGAGCAGGAACTGACCCAGAAAGCCACACACACAGACGACATGACTCATCCAGGTTATAAAACAATAGGAATAATATAACCCATCTGACATTTTTTTCCGTTTATAAATAAGCATACTTAAAAATAGAGAGTATCTGGAAAAATATAGGTCAAATGAAGTGATGATTGCTCCAGGGGTAGACTGTGGGAGGTTTTCCCCTTTCCTGCTTCTCTGTGCTGTGCAACAGCTGTTCCGGAACCCCGGGCACCAGAGTCTCTCCCAAGTCAGGCTGCAGGGGCGTCTGAGGATGCGAGGTGTGGAGACCCAGACAGCCAGGCAGGGGTGCACCTCATCCCCTCTCCCCCCAGCTACACCAACCCCGATGGACGCTGCCCTGGGCTCCTGCTGCCAGGCCAGATGAAGGCGGGCACCTACAAGCTGACCTTCGACACCGAGGGTTACTGGAAGAAAAGGGGGCAGGACAGCTTCTACCCGTATGTGGAGGTGAGGGCCACAGGCTGGCATGGAGGTGGAGTCCTGTGATTCACCATGACCCTGAGGTCCTGCAGTAGGCAATGCCCCTCCCCCCTCTCCCAGGGCAGTGGCAGGCTGTGAGTTCACCTGCTTTGAACTCCCAGGAGAAAGGTGTCCCTGCCCTGGCCCTGGGTCAGGCTGTGGGGGGCAGGGTCGAGAGTGACTCAGCCCCTGTGGGGACAGGTGTTGAACAAGCCCTGCCCAATTCACTGGGCCTAATCTTGCTGCCTCCCCCTTCACCTGACCCGATTTCAGGGTGGACCCCTTGGGAAGCTTGGCAGGCCCAGGGGCCCTCAAGCCAAGAGCTGTATCTAGAGCAGATTCAGCCTTGTCAACAGCCTTGGTCTCCAGTTCACCATCAGGCGCTGGCTGGTCTGGGGCTCCCTGGGAACCAGCCCTCGGCCCACAGTCCGGCTTCTCCTGGGAGCCCTGGGGACAGGCCCTGGCTCCCTCCTGGTGCCTTCTGTTCCCAGGTCGTTTTCACCATCACAAACGAAACCCACAAGTTCCACGTCCCCCTGCTGCTGAGCCCATGGTCCTACACCACCTACCGAGGGAGCTGACCGCCAGCTGGCCCGAGAGCACCAACGCCCTCACTGGCCTGAGCGCCCCCAGCCCTGCACAGGGCTCCGTGCTCCTCATGGGGACTCAGGTCCCGCTTCCTGGGGGAGGTTCTGGCCCCCAATTCCTAGTGGCACTGTGACTTGGGCATCAATAAAGTCATGTGGCACCTGCAGGCTGCTGCGGTCACTGGGCAGAGCCATGCTGGTGCTGCCCAGCCTGAGGTGTGTGTATGGTGGCGGGGGGACAGCTGGGAGGGAAACAGACTGGCCCTGGCCCTGGCGCTGCTTCTGCCACAGTCGTGCACCAGGACACGCAGCAAACGTGAAAGCCTTCATTTGCTGACCCAACAAATCAAAAAAACACACCTGCTGTCCGTGGGTATAAAAGGGGGTGTCATGCAGGGAGAAGTCCTGGGTGGGGGCTATGTTGGGGTGCTCACAAGTCCCGCCGGGCCCTGGCCCAGGGTCTGCCCAACTACGGCCGTCTCCAGGGGTTTGAAGCCCACGTTGTCCAGAGGGATCCCAAAGGCCAGGAGCTTCGCCTCGTAGGTGCGCAGCAGGTCGCTGTGGGCCTGTGGGGACATCACATGTTGGGAGGGGCCAGGATCCCAGCAAGGGCTCCCCGCTGGGAAAGGGCAATGCAAGGCTGGACCTCACTTAGGACACCCAGCTCTGTGGAGGGTGGGAAGGAGGGACCACAAAGAAGACTGATGGGGAGCACAGGTGACCCCCACATCCCAGAAGAGCTCAGGTATGGGCACCAGTGCTGCCAGGTCCATGGACATGGTTCTGTCCCCTCTGGAAAACAGGCGTTTTTAAAAGGGTGAATGTCATCGGTGGCTATAGGGTCTGAAGAGGTGATGCCTGAGAAATGCTTGGAGCGTGGCTGACTCAGAACTAACACTGCAGAGGACACAGTACCCTCACCGTCCTCACACCCCAGTGCAGGGACTGGGGTCAAGAGTTAGAGGTGAACTGAGTGGAGCTCCAGAGAGAGCTGGGGGCTGGGCCTGGCTCTGCCCTTCATGGGGCACAGGCCTCCTGACAACCAGATACAACTTATGCAAATCCTCCCCAGAGCTGCACAGGCCAGTAGTTGCCACCGATTTTGTGTGTACAAGTTTCAGGGTGTTGGGGCATCCAGAGAAGGGTCGGATGGGCAGGTGAGGCTGGGAGGGTCGAGGGAAGGCCCAGCACCTCACACGCCTTCATCTTGAGGCTGCACAGCCCGGGGCTTGCATGTAACAGAAGCAGCAGAAAAAAGACTTAAGGGCATGTCTGAGTCACCCGTGAGGTGCTGCCCTTGGTAAATGCATGCCCAGGCAGCTATGTGTCTGCATGACCACAGGCAAAGCCCAGATACCTGTGGGGAATGCCAGAGCCAGGGGCGCTGGGTGCAGGGCCCAGGCTGCTGGGACTCATGGGACAGACAATAGTGGGGGGAGGGAGGTCAAACAGGCCTCAACGCCAATGCGCACTTGGGCACAGAAATGGTGTGCAGCGCTCATTGGACTCACAGAGGAGAAAGGGTAGACCTGTGTCTGCTCCCCGCTTGCAGGTGCGGAGGAAGCCCCTCGCATCGCCCCAGAGGCCAGGAGGGTGGGAGAGTGAGGGTCGGACGACAGGGATGTGGGGGTCGGGAAGAGCTGCTGGAAGAGCAGAGCCCCCTCCTTTCCCAGAGGCTGGCCCTGGAGGAACACCAAGGCAGGCGGGGCTGCCCTAAGCCATAGGCAGCTGGACCCTCAGGCTAAGGTAGGAATCGCGGGGTCCTGGGTGGAGGCGTGCACTAAGGCAGGTGGGGCTCCTCGTACCTTGCAGACCCGGGCCAGCTCGTACTGGAGGTCCTTGATGGTGCTGTTCTTCGATTCCAGAACGTCCTGAGGAGAGAAATGCAGGCCTGAGTTTGAGACCTGTCTTTGGGCCAAGACGGACTGGGCAGCTGTAGGTCTGGCATCTGGGACTCTAACGGTGACCCCAGATGTCCAGGGAATAGTGACCTGGCCCCATTCCTGTGTGTCCACACAGGGAGCAGGCTGTGCAGAAAGATCCCCCAGGAAGAAAGGGAGACAGCGCCTGCCTCTGGAAGGAGAT